TTCATATTAAACTTGATTTTAAATTCTTAATATAAAACAGTAGAATTTAAAAATAATGATTAATATTATCTTAAAATTTTAAATGGATAAAAAATTAATACATATATATATATTTTTTTTTCTTTCATACGTGGTTAATTAAAATGAAACAGACAAGAAACAAATATAATATTATTCATGTAAAAATTTTTTATAATATATATTATTTCTTAATTTTTTTTCACTTAAACCATTACATTATACACATTTTCCCTTCTCTTTTAACAATTTTTTCATTTAGTTGCGTAAAAATATATATAAATTTGATTTCTCAAATTCTTTAATCCGTTCTTGTAACATGTATTTCGTCTCCTTTAATACAAAATATTTGATATGGACGGTCGTCTTCTGAATATAATTTTTAAAACAAAAAAGTTATTAAATAAATAAAGATAACTACCAAAAAAATATTGAAAAGCTCCCTAAGTAGAATGTTTATATTTTGCAAGACATGAATTTGAAAATATAAATATTTTAAAAAATAATTTTGTTTCTTACGGTGTTCTATTTAATTATAGTAAAATTGTTTTTCGCAAGGATATTGTCCATTTAAATAAAAGAAAATAACATTTATATCTAAAATTTGAAAAAAAATTTGGGTAAAAATTTCTGAATGGTCTAAATAAGGGCAATGGGTGGGGCTGTAAGAGTGGTATTATTTGTTAGGGGCCATGTGCACCCATCAAGTCAGACTTTGCCTTCGCTACTTTCTTTTTCCTCTCTTTCTTTTTTGGGTTGCTTTTTCACCCTTTTAAAGACTGAATTGAAGTAATGAAAAATGGGATTTAAAAGTTCGGCCTTAAAAATGTTCTACTTTATAATTTTCCAACCAAATCCGCTATATAATTGTCGTATAAATCACGTTCTAACAACGTGACCCGAGAAAATTTCCTCAACTTTGCTTCATTTACTCGCTTTCTTTCTCTGTCTCCACTATCCAACTCACCTTTCTCTCTTGCATTGACTTTTTTTAAAATATATTATAAAGCATGAAAGGGGCACAATGTTTCAATGATTTATTTTTCTTTGGTGTTTTGCAAAGATGAAATTAATTATTCAAGCAGAGTTGGCTCATCTTTATTTATCCATAACATTGTGCAGGAAATGCAGCACATTATAATTACTGCATGCCGTGCTCTGCAACATTAAATGAAGTCAAAGGAGTTTAATGAGATGAAGCAATAATAAAATAACAATCATGTGGACTACCACACGGATAATCAATCAGCCCAACTACAATGTGGAATTGTACTTTTCATCCTGGATCAACTGCTTTTATTGCAGATATCTAAAGTGTTGATGTTTCGTTGACAACATAAATACCAACTTTATTTCTATGACTACTTCAAATAATTTGGATGAATTGCACAACACCTTATTTGTTTATATTTTAATTTACACTTATAGTTAAATATAAATTTAACTATCTATCATTTTATTTTGTCAAAATCTCTTCTTACTGTATGAAAATCTTCTTATATATTGCGTAAAACGTACTAAATGACCCATTAGTGACATAATTTGCATATACTTCGACAATTTCCCATTAACAATATTTTTCAACGTATACTCCTCGGCTATAAAATATACAAATGTAAAGAGGGAGAAACCATTTAAGAAACTCACTGAAAGGAATTATTCCAAGGGTTAAAAATGGAATAAAAGTTATAAGATAGTACTAAAAAAATCGTCTGTCATGAGTATTAGTTATCATATTTTTAATTTAAGGCAAATATCATAGTATTTTTTTGTTTTAAAGTAAGGTAATTTTTTAATAAAATTAATTTAAAATTATTTAATATAATTAATATGCGTCTTTTGAAAAAAAATTATCACAATTTGACATTAAAACACATATATGATGTGAGAAATTGATCATGTGTGCAGGACTACTTGACACCTTACATAAATAATATAAACTTAAAACAATATAAGCTTTACACAATTAAATTTAAATTACACTGAGTATACTTGTTAAAGTAACTATTTTATTAATGATGATCGCGCAATGTCATGGGTGACTATATGACAATAGAATAAATTGGATAATATTTTTTACAATAAAATTTATAATTTTTTTATGATTATGAGAGAAATTAAAAAAAGAGAGAGAAAAATACAAAATACGATAGGTGATGAAGAAAAAAAAGTTATGAGAAATTGTTGTATGAATAATACAACTTCAATTTGATTATTTATTTATATCACTAAATTCAGGTCTTGACGAGCTATTGCTTGCAAGTCTTACAAAATTTTCCTTACTTCTGAGTTTGAATCAAGACTTTGCTAGCAGCGTAGGAAGGAATATTTTAGACAGCTACTTTATACAAAGACGACACCAAATGGCAATTCACCTTCCGTATCGTTTTACCCCTGAACATGGCGAGTGAGGTTTTTCAATCCATTGAATCTCGAAAGTAACATAAGACAAAAGAAAACAGTAGAAGTAGCAGATAATATCAAAACTAAAATAAAGGAGAATATAGTGGGTGATATGATATATTATATGGACAACACAATAGGTCCAAGCAAACAGAAAACCTTAGGACAAAAAGTGCAAGTCCCTCCACTGCTTCCCCTTCTTTTGATAGATTTTCGGGTAAAGTTGTTTGTCATCTTGGCACCGAATTATCTTTGCTGTCTTTCTGCTTTCAATTTTCAATTTTTACCTTTGATTTTCGTTCTCTGTTTGTTTTTTCAACACAAACACTTTGAACCCTGAAGCCATATCGAGGAGCTTTAATGTTTTTGTGAGAACATGTTGGATTTATCTTGCCCCTAGTACCAAAGTTTTCTAATACGAATGATTTGTCATATATATATATATGTGGTGTACTCAGTATCTAGGTGTTCTCGGGTTGAATTCCATGCTTCAAATTTCAGATCCTCAATCATAGAGTAATAATAGTGAATCCGAGATTTTGTTTTTTTCTCCTTAGTATTGTTTGAAAACCATTAGTCTCTATCAGTTAATTCTGGCACCCGTTGAATCTGATTTTCTAGTGTTCCACACAGACATTTCTTCGTTGGACCTACCAAAAATTTTTCATTCATACATAAGAGAAAAAAATAAAGGCTTGTTTGTTTCCTTTTTTTTATTTTTAAAATTATATTTAAAAAAAATAAATACAAAACTTATGTTAACAAACAAATTTTTCTTTTTATTTTTAAAAAGAAAAAATAATTTTTAAAAGAGAAAACAAACCAGCTCTAATTTTTTATTTAATTATTTATTTTTATGATGACCCACAATGATCTTAATTTATACTATATTTTTTTCATGGTTTCCGTAATTTTGCGGTATCTATGTTGTCTAATTTTTAAAGTAGTTGTGATTTGATTTAAAGTAGAACTCTTTTACAAAATAACCTTGTTTTACAAAAGGGAAATTTGTGTGTGAGTCCATTAATATTAATGATGAAAGGTACATATAATTAACGAACCCGATGATTGGTACACCCCGGCCCCTTTATCCTCACTTGTGGCCCAAATGTTCGACTCCATTGAATACCATCACATCCCATCATGGTGGTCGTAGCAAGCAAAATCAATCTGTCTCCATGCAATGTCGTTTTAATTTAGTTTTAGAAGCGAAGATATATTTGAGCTAGCACCCTTGTCTTGTCTTTTTAATATTTTAATTCTATGATATATAGATCCTCATTCCACAATCGACCCAACCAAACAGGTGGTGGAATATTGTCCTGGTTTTCCCTTCGAGAAATGGCACGGGGCAAGTTGGTCCCAAATATTTGAATTTCACATGCGCCTTTTTTCTTAGTTATGACTCACCAACCAGAGATATCACAATGCCAGCGTAACTCACCTCTAATTATAACCATATTGGATCTTTCCTGACCTTAGGCATGGTACCTAGCCAGGCCATCTCAGGAAAAGGGTTGGGACAGTTACCTAAGACGAAGATGAATCTCCCACACACTGTTTCAACCACCTCAATTTCAGTTTCACTTAAATTGTAACAAACCAATCTTTTCTAACGTGTGTCACGTGCATACCTTACTTAGAGCCCTTTCTAAAATGACAAAGTAAAATGTCCATGCCACAATTCCCCTTTAGGACTATCCATGACCTGTGCATGCAGCAACCATACTTCAAAGCATGGTCCACACTCCACAACCAGGGTTATGGCGGGCTAACTCTAAGATGCCAAGTTGCTTATCCATTTTAAAGTTATCATTTTCCAAAGCTGCGTTTGCTCTGTTTCTTTTTACTATTTTGGGGTGGCACAGTCAATTACTTAGTAAAACTTAAAATTTTTAGTAATACTGAATTAATTGAATATAGAATATGAAGTGTCTGTTGCTAATTTCTACGAAATTACTGTTTACTTGAGTTATTGGAGGCACTTAAACTCGTACGTACATTTTGAACTATGTGAAGTTTATAATGTGGAAATTGTTGTTCATTTTTGCTTTATAATTACTGTAATAGAATCGTAATGATTTTGAGGTGCATCAAATCCTAAATTTGAATTGTTTTATACTCTAATATAAAAATAAACTAGCCAAGTATTGTTATTATTATTATTTAATTTACATATATGTCATATAACGAGATCACAAGTACACACGTCAACAGACTTCACTCCCTAAATTTTCAAAGCTCGTTCGGTGTGCGCTTCTGACCCCTAAGGATTCATAAATACTTGGTGTTATGAACCGTGTACACATTTCTTTAAAACCAAACCCACCCGATAGTGTCAATGCGTGTCCCTTTCATTCTCCTTATCAAGGGCATCCTAAAAGAAAAAAGACTTTCGCTTGATGTTTACACTGTTCCCCGGTGCAGGATCAGAACAGCAACAGGCTGTACCATAAAACATGTGCTACGTGATGAAGACAAAGACTTTTATATAAAGAACATACTCCCACCAATCCTACTGTACAAATTACAAAACCATTAAAGAAAAGAGAGAAGAAATATTCAAACATTAACACCTTAAAAGTAAAGAGAAAACCCCACCCAGAAGAAAAAACTGAAGAAAGCAAGTAGATCAGCTATCACAACCCAAAGGAAATAAAGATGAAATACATTCCATCCCCACCAACTGAACACTTCAAATGCTAAGAAGATCGGGAGGTGGCGACGGAGGAGGATGTTGATTATCTTTAGGTTCCTTAGATGCTGTGGTTGGAGACTCTAAACTGTTTGATGATGACAAAGATGATTCAGTGATTGTTATGTCTCCTTGTTTTGAGCTTGGTGGCTTCGGAAGCTCTGTCAGAATTTGAACGACTTCACGCATAGTTGGTCTCTCCACTGCCTGTTCTTCAACACACAGCATGGCTACATAGAAAACATGCATCACCTCATGAAGTGGAACTGAGGGAAGTCTAGGATCAAGAACTTTTAGAACACCCTCCTTGTTTGAGTCTGTCATTTTCCTCACCCATTGCACAATGTCCACCCCATCACCAAATTCTCCAACCGGTTTCCTTCCAGTTACAAGCTCCAAAAGAACCACCCCAAAGCTGTATACATCACTTTTCTCATCAACTTTGAGGGTGTAGGCATATTCTGCAGTCACAATCTCAACTTCAGTCATTAATCATACACAAAAATGAAACAGCTACATTAATTGGAAACAGTACGATCATAAAATCAAAATCTAAGAAAACCAAAGGAAATTGCCATCTGTTTTGACGTACAGGTTGCTAATTAATTACCATCTTTTTTGCAACTGTGAATATCTCTAACCTATAATTAGAGGACCTATCTAATTATAGGCTGGGGGCTATGATCAAAGATTCAAACGAGGTATCTAATGCACAGTCACCTACCATTTGCTTTAAGAAGCACTCTAATTTAGTGTAAAAATCAAGAGGTCGCTAGTGTTTGAAAAAAAAAAAAAGTCAAGGTAGGCAATATAGCATGTATGCATTTATTAATTAATTAGGCGCACCACAGCAACATCCACAGTTTACTTCTGCGCCTAAATCAATGATGTTGAGTCAAATGGGACAACCTCCGACCGTTAAGGATTATAGATAGAAATATGGCCGAAAAGAGGGTTATTAGTCTCACAAGCTGAACACATAAATCATCAATTAAGCTGAATTTCAATATGTTACCTGGAGCTATGTATCCATATGAACCGGCAATAGCAGACATGCATTCAGATGTTCCAGAATCTTGCAGGAACTTAGCAAGCCCAAAATCAGCAACATGGGCTTCAAAATTGGAGTCAAGGAGGATATTGTTTGACTTAACATCTCTATGGACAATGAGTGGTGAACAGTCATGGTGTAGATAGCAAAGGCCCTTAGCAGCCTCCACAGCAATTTTATACCTGGTGTCCCAATGCAAATGACCCCCTTTCTTACCATGAAGAACTTCACCTAAACTTCCATTAGGCATGTACTCATAGACCAATAGATTTGTCTCATGGTTTGAACAGAAACCCAGTAGTCTAACAATGTGTCTGTGACGAATCCTCCCCAAAGTCTGAATCTCCGCATTGAAACCATGATCATGTGAAGATCCTCTGCTCATAGCTGGTAACCTTTTCACTGCAACTTGATCCCCATTGGGCATTCCCCCTTTGTAAACAATGCCTGCACCGCCTTTCCCTATTATGTTGTCCTCCTTCAAGCAATCCAAAACATCATCAACAGTGAAGTCCAAACGCTGGAAAGCAGTTAATTTCCAAGCACGAGCTTCACTGGCCTTTTTCAAAGACCGAGCCTTTATTATTGCTGCAACAGCAAACGCAATGGAACACACAAGCAACCCAATAACCAGCAAGAGCTTCAAAGAAGAAGAAAGAGGACCCTTAACGTGAGGCTGGCGAGGGCCATTGGCAACCCCATCTTTGCAAGGACCCAAATAAGGTCCACATAATTCAGGGTTGCCCAAGAAAGAGGTGTAGTTAAAGTAGCTGAATTGGCCAGTACCGGGAACCAAACCAGAGAGATTGTTGTATGAAAAATCAACAGAAGTTAAACTCTGCATAGAGGCTATAGACCCTGGAATTGAACCAACTAAATGGTTTCTGGAAAGGTTCAAGTAATTCAATATCCTCATACCAGTGATCTCGTTTGGAATCACACCCGAAAGCTCATTACGGCTGAGATCAACGAAAGTCAAGAGCTTGCACTGACTGATCTGAGGAGCAATAGGACCCGAGAACTTGTTATGGCTAAAATCAATCTTGGAAAGCTGTTGAAGCTTCCCAATCTCGGGAGGGATTCGACCCGAGAACTTGTTGCCATCAAGGAGAAGCTTTTGCATGCTGGTGAAGTTCCCAATGGTGGGTGGCAACGGCCCAGAAAGCTTGTTGTTGGAAAGACTAATCTGACCAAGATTGGCAGACATGGAACCACCCTCAGGAAACTGACCCGTGAGAAGATTATCCTGAAGCTCAACTTGGGTCAGTTTCGGAAGCCCAAAAAGACCCTTTGGAATAGAACCATTCAGAAAGTTCTCGCCCATGCGAATCCTACTTAAAGACTCGCACTTTCCAAGCGAATCAGGAATGGGACCAAAGAGGTAATTCCCAAGAGTTATCAGAGTCTGAAGACGGTTCCCAGAACACATGTCAGGGGGCAGAGACCCAGTTAACTTGTTCGAAGAAAGATCAACGAGCGTTAGCCGCCCGTTCTTCCCCAAACTCTGAGGAATGCTCCCAGTGAAGTTGTTCTCCCAAAGCTGCAACACTTCCAGCGCCGGAAGCTCCCCGATGAACTCAGGAATCGCGCCATGAAGCTTGTTCCTGAACAGGTTCAACAACGTCATGTTCTTCAGCTCCGCAAAGCTCGCCGGAACCTCGCCGGAAAGCATGTTGTTGGACAAGTCCATCGACTTGAGGCTCTTGAGGTTCCCAAGCTCAGGAGTGAGGGAACCGGAAAGCGCATTCACCTGAAGAAACAGGGTATCCAACTTCTGAAGCTTCCCCAGCTCCGCCGGAATCTCGCCGGACAATCCACAATATGCGGCGTCGAACCTAACGAGTTCCGACAGGTTTCCGATCTCCGGCGGGATGCCGCCGTCGTAAGTGTTGTAGTACCCAATGTAAAGCTCCCGGAGTGAGGAAAGGCTTCCGATCTCCGGCGGAATGATCCCGGCGAGCTCGTTGCCGGACAGAGCGAGGTACTCGAGATGAAGCCAAGTGCCGTACTCGTGAGGGATCTCGCCGGAGAAGAAGTTTCCGCCGAGATGCAAATGGCGAAGAAGGGGCATGTTGGTGACGGAGAGGGGAAGAGGACCGGTCATGTTGTTGTTGTAGAGGTCAAGGACTTGGAGGTTGGTAAGCAGAGAGAGTTGAGAAGGGAAGGTTCCGTTGAAGACGTTGTTGGACAGGTTGAGGAACCGTAGATTTGAGAGAGAAGAGAGAGAAAGAGGGATGGGGCCGGAGAACTTGTTGTCGGCGAGTGAGAGATGGGAGAGGAAAGGGAGGTGGGAGAGGTCGTCGGAGAGAGAACCGGACAGGGAGAGGGAGGGGAGGGAGAGGGTGGTGACGTGGCGGCGTGAGTCGCACGTGACACCGAACCATGAGCAGAATGGGGTGGAGGAGTTCCATGAAGAGAGAGCGTGGGTTGGGTCATCAGTTACTGATGATGCTTTGAAAGAGAAGAGTGCGCGGTATTCTGAGATGCGCGCTGAGTATACATTGTTGTGAAGGAAGAGGAAGAGCAGCCACAATAGCACCAGTCGCATTTTGTGCGACAAAGGAATTGGAAAATGAGGAGAGTGAGTGTGTATTTGTGTTTGTGTGTGTGTTTCTGAGACTCTGCTACTGACCACCACTGACCCCTGCCAGAGTGAGTGAGTGAGGAAGCGTCCACCTCTGCCCACGCCCTGTGATTTTTATCGTTCAAAAAGAGGGAATTTTCTCAATATGAATTTTCCCCTTTTTTTTTATGATTGTAACAAATCATAACATACCAAAATACTATTTATTAGTTCTAACTTCTTTAAAAAATACTACATATTATTACAATAAAAAAATACCTATGCCTGCTGTCTATTTCGTGACATACTTCTGAACTGTGCTTTTCATTGTATTAACGATTTCTTTTAATGTCTTTTTAACCATTAGAACTTTAATTTTATAGTGTGCTTGAAAAAAAGGTCACATGAATGTTGCTGAGCTGCTCACACATTTTATACATGCGTTACTTTATATTCATGTGAATTTGATTTTTTTTCAATTACGGTTGTATAGAGTCGTCTTATTTTCTAAATATTCACCTTTCTGAACATGAAATGTGCAAAGATAGAAGTAATGCAAAATTAGCTTTTTGTAAACCGACAAACCACTGGAGCTTTCTTTTTACTAATTTGGTTTCCCCTCTTTTTTCTTTTTTTTTTCCAAACTTTTGTTCACGGTCAATTATTCTTTCATGGTTTTTTTTATCTTTTGCATAACTAATATAGTTTGCTAAAAAGATAAATGCGCAAATTTGCAAGCAGCATTTTGTATTAAAAAAACGTGTACTGATACGATATTAAGGGGTTGAATTCTATATTATGAATTTTTCCTATTTTACGTAAAATAATAATAATATTCGTATTCATTTTACTCTATCTTTTTCCAAAATAAAAATATGATATGTAATACACGTTTTATAATGCATACTCATTGTGTTTGTAGTACAAGAGGATTATATGAAACACAGAACTGTCTCACTAATCTATGCTTGATAGAGCTTCATCTTTTAGCATTTTCTTGAGTGATTTGTATTTTCATACGCTTGTTAGTTTTTATTAGTCCTTTTCCCCCATCCCATCCCTCCCTGTTTTTGAATTGTCCTCAGGAAAGCGAAACAAGTTTATAATATTATTACATTGTTTTCAAGTTTCTCTTATAAATTAGTTAGAATTTATCCTCCAAATTTTGTGCAGGCAATGTAGAGAAATTAGTTAAATATGCGTATAAATGTGGTTTCAAAAAAAAAGAAAAAAGAAAAAAAGGACTTTATACAGTTTTACAATTACATATTTTTGAATTTTTAATTCAACAATTGCCCAACTTCAGTTAGATATTAATACAAAACATGTTGACAACTTTTCCTAAATTCTTTAGTGTCAACTTTTGATCAATAATATTATACAACTAATAAATTTATCAATTTATAAGTTGTATGATAGCTTGATTTAATTGAAAAAAATTATCGACATTAGTTACATTATCAAAATAGCTACAATTTATTAACATCTAGGACTAAGAATGTTGAGATATTAGAATTAAATTGGAATTAATTTAATTTGAAAAAGTTATTATAATGTGTACTTTATCAACTGTTTTAGAAGAAAATGCTTAAGTCTTAATAGTTATAATTGAGTTGCATTCCTAGTACATTGTTATGGATTAGAACTTATTAAAGAAAAACTCTTCTTTTCAACACTAGTCGTTTTACGCTTCGGTTGAAGTTTTTGAATATAATAACAACACAATTAATAAAGTAAAGTAATTTTGTAAAGATCGGAACGTAAAGTAATATAACTTTAATGTTTGAAGATTGTGTAGAGGGGCTCCTCCTTCAAATTCTTTTAAGGAATCATAATGATTATTAATCAAGTATATTAATGGTGAATTTATCTTTAAAATATACTAGGATACTCTAAAAAAGAGTCGATAAAGTGATCAAATAAATACGTGTTTTAAAAATTCAAACCCCATTAATACTATTCTAATTTGACTATTATGAGTATGTCATTATCAATCAACAATTTACATTAAAAGTGTCAATGTTAAAATTTACAAAATTAATTCACTTAAAAGATGGATTTTTTATATGATAAAGAAAACATTATACTGAAGTATTGTGAAAGTAAAATTGTAATATAATACAATATCATATGATAATATTATGATATTTCTAGAGATAAATTTAGAAAGCATGCAAGGAACAGGTAAAAATTAATATACTAATTAATTCAATTTATAAATCTACAAATACATGTTATTATATATATATATATATATATATATATATATATATATAAAATCCATGTAAAGTTCTTGCAAAAAAAAAAAAAAACATAGAAGGAGATTGGAACCTACTCATTGCCCATTAAATTTATCCTTGGATCTTTCCTTAATATTTATACAAATTAATAGACACAGTATTAAATGGATGGCTGTTTTGCTCAAAAATATTAAACTGAAAAATATTTTCTATGATTAATTTCCATAATTTAAATATTATATAGAAATGGCTAATTTAAATTTTCTAATATGACGAATAATTATAGAGTAAGATTGCTTAGTTATTTTAACCAAGAAATTTGCTAAATAGTCTTTACAAAAAGTTTTATAAAAGTTTTAAAATAAAAAATATTTAAAAACAGAACAATATATCAAAATATTTTTTTAAAAATTCTTTCACAAATGTTTTTTAAAATATTTGTTATCAAATACTTTATTAATTATTTTATCCTATACACATCCTCCCTGAAAAGTAATCAAATATGAGTTGGTAGCATATTAGATGTTTCGGGAAGAATATTTCTTTTATCAAACATAAAATTTAAACTTTAAATCTTATTTAAAAAAATTTAGCATATACTACACTCGAATCAATTACCCATTACTTTTTAGTAATTTTTTTTTGCTAATTTTTGTTATTACCTAAATATGTAAGGTATAAGTGAATTTCAAAATAAAGATAAAGTGGATTAAAAATTCATATAATGGTAAATTGATCTCTAAAATTTTGAGAATATCATAACATTTAAATATAAATGATATTGTTTAACTATATTTATTATTATAAGAAAATAACAAACCACATTGAAAAAATTAAAACAAGCTTTTTCAGTTGTTGCTAGCTCTCCATATTTCATGTATGACAATCTAAAGAAACATTTACAAGAGCATTTGAAGGATCGTTTAAGAGAATCTAATATATTGTATAAAAAAGAGATTATATGATACTATAAATTATGTTTATTATTTGTTGTTTATAAAGTTTAAAAATTTAAAGATACATTCATTTAAAATCATTACTTGAAATATCTTTGTAACTGAGTATAAGACTAAAAAAGTGCAAAATTTGTTGAAAATTATATTTGTCACATAAGTTACATGTCACAATATTTTCATACATTTGATACTTGTTCAAATGTTAACAAGTTGATTATAAATGTTTATTGTTATAAAGAACTATATATACAAGCAACTTAAAAGAAGAATATAAAGTAGCAACAAAAAAAAGAAAGAATATAATAAATTTTTTCTGTCAAATTTTTAGTTCAACCCTTTTAATGACATTTTTAATATACTGAACACTTCATTCATATTCTGAGTATCATCCTAATTTTCATTATTCTTCCTCATAAAACTTTACATACCACTAAAATTAACGGGTCTTTTGTCTTTTTAATATGAAAAAAATAAAAAATTACTAAAATATGGTATTTAAAAAAATTAAAAAAATATTATATTTTTTAAAAAAAATAGCCACTAACGATTTTTTGTTTTTTAAATATTTTATTATTTTTCAAAAATCATTTGTGGCTATTTTTAAACCCTATATTTTAAAAGTTTTTAAAAAATACCATATTTTGGTATATATACTTTTAAAATTCCATATATAGAAAAATATTCCAAAGTTATCCTCTTTTGTTTTTTTTTTTTTCGGAGAAAAGCTTGAAAACAATTGTCTATAAAAACTTTATATAGTACAAAAGTTATCCTCTTTCGCATGTCTTCATATTTATTTATTTATTTTTTCATAATACTTCATTCCCTAATTAAGACATAAGACATTGAGCAAACTATGCGAACATACCACACGGCGAGCCTATGTGTACTTGCAATCCAATTAAGTCATCTCTTACGCATGACCTTTATACATGTTTTTTTTTTTAAATATTTTTACATGATTATATATTTACTTAACTTTGAAGGTTAAATTTTTTATTTTTACTAAAAATTCAAAGGAGCTAAAATAATAAGAAGATTTCTGTTAATAAATTACAATTAAATTAAATGATTTTTATAAATAAGATGCAAGCAAATGACACGAATAGACAAAACATAACATATAACATCTTTATAAAGTATAGTCATTGCTAGTTATACACTATTAAATTTATCAATTGTTATTCACTGCTATTTTTTTATTTACACTTACTATTTCATAAATTGAAAAAACAAACTCAACCTTTTCCAAACTTTAAATAGATACTCTAAACTATAAATTTATCTTAATGATTTTTAAACTTTTGTTTTTGTAACTAGATAGCTTGAACTTTAATTTTGTTATAATAATCCTTAAATTTTATTAATTTTGTGTTTAAAAATGCATAATATTTGCGTTACGTTATTAATATTATCAGCAAAGTAGAAATTTATTATTATTATTTAAAAACATAGAACATATTGTATAAAATAAGATAAAATATAAATGAATAATTAAAAGAATTGCACGTGACGGAAGTTGTTACTTGTATAATATGATGTGTCACTCTTTTAATATTTGTGCGTTTGAATTAAAAAATAAACTAAAATAAAAATGTATTTAAATAAATACCTATCCCCGAAGGCAGGGAAATACATGGACTGGTTATGCTTTTTTCAGTTTATGGCAATCATGCGGGGTATTCTTTTGGAATGAAATGGGACCCAATGATGTGATGCATCGAACGTCCACAGAAACTATTGGACAAGGGGACCCACATTATTCAGCCAGTGTGTGTGAACATCAAGATGAGAAAACTAGCATCATTGCCAAAAATTAGTTCACTGCAAGAAAAAAGAAAAATAAATACAAT